CTGTAATGTGGAGTAATACAGTAATAGTATGCAGTAGTAACAGCGTAACAGTAATAACTTGTGTCGTGTACGCGCGCGTCTGAATGTAAATTTGCCTCTGTAATGTGGAGTAATACGATTATATGGTTATAGGAATGAATATATCACGGGTGAATAATGACAAATTTTGTCATTACTTTGTAGAGTTTCGACAACCTTTGTTATTATTCACCGCTAAATATATCTATACGTCTAATTTATGTATCAGCATGCAACTATAAACATATATAATATTAACTATAAAGTATAAACACACGCACATATATATACATTCACACGCGCATGCATGCACGCATACATACATCTTCATGGTAATAGTAATAGTAGTACGGTAATAGTCAGATAATAGTGTGATGGGTTCCGAAGAATTAGTTCGCGATAAAATCTTCGCCTGGACATTCTGCTCGTGGCGTCTAGCTGAGAAGTGCGTTTATTATTGTTACTTGCAGTTTGTCGAGCAGATGGCGGAAGTCGTGAAGAAGGGAATCGAGGCGGTTAACAAAGACTTGGAGCAGGAAAATGCTGAGAAAATCATGCAGGAAGTACGTATTCCATGTCCGCTCCCCAACCGACCGACCTTTTTTCGGCAATTTTTTTTCTCGTTAAATAAAATCGGTTTCGTACTCGTGTAAGCGTGAAAAGGACATGCTCCTTTAATTAGAAGTTTATTCGTCTGTTTGTTGTCGTTGTAACCACTGATCTCTATTATACTAACTTTATATAATATGTTAGTATAATAGAGATCAGTGGTTGTAACGAGCTGCTGTTCTTGTGTTTTATGCTCGTTCCCGATTCTAGGGCGTCCTTCGCTACGTGCCCCTGGTAGGGTCTCTCGTGAATTGGTGGTCGCCGCCACCTAAAGAGGTCGGCATCAGGGGTAGAACGTTCGACCTCACCTCAGGTAAGTGTCTGTCTCTACTCACTCACTCACTACCCCTACTCACTCACAACCTACTACTCACTCACTACTACTCACTCACTCCCTACTCATTCTACACCTCTGTACACTCACAATACTACTCACTCACTACCCTTACTCACTCACTACCCTTACTCACTCACTCCCTACTCACTCTACATCTCTGTACACGCACAACACTACTCACTCACTACCTATACTCACTCACAACCTCACTGTTACATTGAGAGAATCTCTGTGTTGATGATGAGCGTGAAGATTGCTAGTTGGATGCTGGGATGATCTGATGTCAACGTGTCCTGCAAATCCTCTCTCGGCCTGCCAAAGCCTTCAATCTTTGTTTTACTGAAAAAACGTGTATATATATATATATATACACACATAGAACACGTACAAGTACCACATGCGGACCCACGCACGCACGCACGCACGCACGCACGCACAAATATAGTGTGTATTTGTATATAAACATGCTCGTGATACTACTACATTCAATATATATATATTACATACATAGTTATTATACGTGTTCACGACGTGTGGATCATCTCCGCTTTCATCCCAACAATCTCCTCCTCTGTGTTAGGTATGATAGAGAGCACGGAGAACACGTACAAGTACCACATGCAGATCCAGCACGGTCCCGCTCCCATACAGAAGCTTCAGATACTCGCGCAGCCGCACGGCAACGACGGCTCGTCGCAGCAGACGACCGGGAGCGAGAAGTCGTCGTCGTCGCCCGATCACGCGTCCAAGACCCCGACGACGACGACGAGTTCGGACGATAGCGGCGACGGTGAGGGTGGCAGGGTGTGGCCGCGTGTGTATGTGTGTATGTGTGTGTGTGTGTGTGTGTGCGTGTGCGTGCAGCTGGCTGTGGTGTTTCTCATCTATCTATCTCTCTTTTTTCTCTCTCTCTCTCTCTCTCTCTTTCTCTCTCTCTCTCTCTCAATGTCTTGCCTTTTTCTTTTTTGTATATACCTCAAACTATATCTCTCTGTCTCGCTCTCCCTCCCCCCTCTTTCTCTTTCTCTCTCTGAGACTCAAAGGCACCAGTTGTTCTAGAATCTAGATCACGCGCTGTCCTACCGCATTCACGCACTTCGTACCGGCTTCCTTCCCCACAGGCAGCTCCGAAGCTAGCCGCGAGAGTCTCCGACGGGAGCTGACGTCAGGAGGAGGAGAAGCCGAGCGATCGCAGTACGACCGGCAGGGCAGGTATGCGATGAAGCGTCCCCCGGCCGTGCCAGCCGTGCCCGAGGACGAGGAATCTGCCGAGGAGACGGCGGCGCCCCCTGCACCATGAGCGAACAGCGCGGAGGAGACGGCGGAGGAGACGGTGGCGCCCCCTGCAGCATGAGCGAACAGCGCGGAGGAGACGGCTGAGGAGACGGTGGCGCCCCCTGCACCATGAGCGAACGGCGCGGAGACGGCGGCGCCCCCTGCACCATGAGCGAACGGCGAAATCTGAACAAGCGGCAGCATAGAGGGTGCCACTAGGAAACAGCGATGTCTAAATACGCAGAGGAGACGGCGGTACGCGCGACTTTACCGAAAATGAATAAAATGAATGAGATATCGTCGTGCGTCGCTGGTCGTGCCGCGCCGTGCCCTCGATGACATGATATCCTCTTCCCTTAACCGACCTGTCAGGATCCTCCGCCTCTCTCTTCCACGCTCCCCTCCACCCTTTCATCTTCGCGCTTCCGGCGACAAGCCAAAAGAACATCGCAGACCGACGACTGCGAGAGAAAAATCGAAGTGAAGCGCGAGTTATCATGTACGAACGCGTTCATACTCGTTCGCTCAGGGGAACGCGCGTTCCACGATCGATGATTCCACGAAAAGTCCTCGTCAGGTCGCGGCCATGTTAGTGATCGAATTGATATTATAATGTGGCAGCGTCGTTATAACGCTGGCTCTGCTGGTTGTAAACCAGCCGGGTTCTTCCTTCTCCGTTACTGCGCACACTAAGCTATTCCATTCCTATCGTGTCCATCCATCCCATAGTCATAATATGATTTTATCGTGTTCATCCAGTGCTTTGCGCAGCTAACTGCACGCTCGTTAGCTCCTGTGAGGTCATCTTCAGTGCATGGAGTTGTGGGCGGATAAGGCGATGTTGCATTGTCTGCCTTTCACCGCAGTCACGGGTAGTGGAGTCACTGGAATATCCCCATTTCAGCATGCGACAAAACTGTGAGTTTGATGACAAGCTGTGAATCGATGAAATGAGACTCGAGCGAAATCACGTTTCTCTTCACCAATCTCGGGGTTGTTTCGTTAACCGGAATGTCTCTCTAATTTATCATAAATTCTATCAATTTTCTGAGTAAAGAGTGTGGCTAATTTTAACATAATTGGCTAGTGTACCGCCTTCGCCCCTCGAAAACTGTAACGTATGTTGCAGGTTTTAACCGGACTTTGTGATCTCGCAAGTAACTGCAACGCCACACTTTTTAACGTGCCACTTTTTTTCGAAATGTCAATGGCAAACCAGTAAATGTGTAATAGGCAATATACCATAAGCATATCCGTAGAAAAAAAAAAAAAACGCATTCTGTACGTGGCAAAACTCGTGCAATGATTCTACTGTTTGGCAGGTGCAGAAAACCGGGCCGGCAAAGTCCAGAAATTATGGCATGATATAGTATCAACAGTTAACCAAACATTATGTTAATTATCTCTTGATTATGTTCATATAATGACCCTAGAGATATACTACAACGTTACAAACGCTATATATATATATATATATAATGTATATATGTACGGAATATATATATATGTATGTTTGCAGTGCATTATATCAGGGATGAATAATGACAAATTTGTCATTATTTTTTGTCATTTATTTTTAATTTTGTTATTTAATTTTGTTTATTTTGTCATTTTGTCATTTGTTTACAATTTACCATTATTAACCCCCTGATTATATTTCATCAGACTGATGTGTTGTACAACATGGCGGCCACTGAGTGTTTCAGGCATTTATCCACAATATGTCCGATTGTTTTTTGCTAGTAATAACGCGTTGATTTACAGATGTTCATTAACTTGATAGCATTTCTTCAAGATAATTTCTTATGATCACGCTATGATAAATAATTAATCAATCATCAATCGCCAGCATCAATAATGAAATGTGACAGCTAAATACTCGATCGCCATCTTGAGTCATCGGTGAATCGCCCTCTCTTTCTCTCTCTCTCTCCTCTCCTCTCCTCTCCTCTCCTCTCCTCGTCGCATCCTGCGCTCTACTCTCCGTCTGCCTCTCCTCATCCTCATCCCATCTCCTCTCGCTCGTCGCTCTCCTGCTCCTCTGCGCTCTCGCTCTCTCCCTCTCGCTGCTCCTCTTCCCTCTGCCTCTCCTCTCCTCTCGCTTCCTGCTTCGCTCTCCTCCTCCTCGTCGCTCTGCCTCTCCTCTCCCTGCTCCTCTCCTCTCCTCTCTTCTGCCTAGCTCCTCGTCGCCGTGTCCTCTCCTCTCCTCGTGGGTCCTCATCACTCTCCTCTCTCTCCTCATCCACTCTCCTCGTCCTCTCCCTCCTTCTCTCCTCTTCCTGCTCCTCTGCGCTGGCTCCTGCTCCTGCTCCCTCGTCTGATTATTTCTATTTTCATCCTCACTCCTTCCCTCCGCTCGGTCTCCCACTCTCCCTCTGCCTCTCCTGCGTCCTCTGCCTCATCCTCTCCTCTCCATCTCCTGCTCCTCTCCTAGCTCCTCTCCCTCTCCTCATCCCTCTCCTCTCCTTCTCGCTCCCTCATCGCGCCTCTCTCGCTCCTCTCCTCATCCTCCCTCTCCTCGTCCTCTCCTCTCCTCTCTCTCACTCTGCCTCTCCTCTCCTCTCCTCTCCTCTCCTCTCCTCTCCTCCTCCCTCTCGCTGCTCCTCGTCCCTCTTCCTCTCCTCGTCCTTCGTCCTCCATCCCTCTCCTCGTCTGCTCTCCTCTCCTCTCAGCTCTCCTCTGCCTCATCGCTCGATCCTCTCCCTCTCGCTCTTCCTCTCGCTCTGCCTGCTCCTCTCCTCTTTCTGCTCTCTCTTCTCTCTTCTCCTCTCTCTTAAGCTCACGTTCCCCCCTTGCTCTTCGTTCTACTTCTCTTATCTCTTCTCTTCTCTTCTTTCTCTCTATCTCTTCTCATTCTGCTTGACTCGTTCATCTGTCTCATTCTCTTTCTCTTCGTCTCTCTTCGTCTGTCGCCTTGTCTTCTGCTTCACCTCTTCTCCCATTCTCATTCTCTTCTCTTCCTCTTCCTTCTCGTTCTCAGTTCGTGCTCATCTTGCTCCTTTTACTCTTCTCTCTCTGTCTCTTTCGTCTCTTCCTTTCTCATCTCTTCCTCTTATCTCCTCTTACTTCTCCGTTCTTCGTTCCTCTTCTCTTCTCTTCTCTTACCTCTCTCTTCCTTTCTTGCTCCTTTCCGTTTTACTCTCTTCTCTTCACTCTTTGTGTGTATGCGTCTTTATGTATTCTTGTTTCTGCTTGTCCTCTCTCTTTATCTCTTCTCTCTCTCTGCTTCTTTCTCTTCTCTTCTCTTCTGCTTCTCTTTCTCTCTCTTCTCTTAGCTCGTTTCTCTTCTCTTCTCTTTCTCTCTCTCGGTTCTCTCTCTCTTCCTCTTCTCCGTTCTCTCTTTCATCGGTTTCTCTTCTCTGTCTCTCTCATTCCTCCTTCTCTTCTCTCTTCTTCTTCTCTCTCCCTTCTCTTCTCTCTCTCTCGTTTCTCCTTCTCGTCACTCTCCTCTCCTCTCCCTCTCT